ATGCAGCTCGGATTCTAAATTGTGAATTTTAATTTCATTTGATATGGTTTAGGTATTTAGTTTATTCTCGGGTGAAGCACATTTCTATTTGAGATAACCGTAAATTCATATATATATAAACATATATGAAATTCCGTATAATAATTCATGCAGTATCCATAGTTGGTTTTTCTAAAAAAAAAAAAATCTATAGTCGGTTATTTTGCTAATTAAAACTACACGAATTTTACTATCCTAGTTTATGTAATGAAGTACATATCTCAGAATTGGCCTACGATTCGATTTAATCCCAATCACCAAGCTATTTGGAATATAATAAAATTCGTCAAATTGACTATTATAAAAAAGATTTTGCTTTTACAACTTCAACATTAGCATTGAAATTGTGGATTGGGATTAAATCGAATCGTAGGCCAATTCTGATCCAAAACCTTTGGAAACTGAAAATTGAGGCTTGAAAATGAAAATTGATGGCTTGAAAATGGTAATGAAATAATGTAGACAAGTGACTCTTGTAAATAGATCCTCTTTTAACGTGTGGTATGGAAATATAATTCAATGCATGTGGGTCAATCAAGCCAACCTCACGAACTTGATGTATTTGTAACGTTTATCTTTCTCTTTCTTTTGTTGACTATGGTCATTTGTATACTATATTATATACAACCATCCGTGGCTGGCCATGATTATTTTAACAGTTTTATTGCTTAATTAATTCAATGGTTTATGAACTGATTTTATAAACAAGATACAAACTCAAAGATTTTAAAAGAGATGTGGTAAGAGAAAGTCAGGCAGTTGATTATTTAATACTTATGAAATATCTATTGCATGGGTAAAAATAATCGTGTAAGCTGGCTGAATCACGTAAGCACTATATGTAACTGTTTACCGACAGAAATATGTGAGTGCCATGTGTAAATTAGTTTGTAGTAGGCGAATATTATAACGTCACATTGATATCATTAGAATTTAGAAGTAGGCTAATTATGTGTTTTTTGCTTTTGATATTTAAAATTTCAAAACCACACTAAAATGTTTTGGAATCACTAGAAAATAGAAATGTGGTCTGAAATTAAAAATGAA